AATAATATGAATAAGAGCAATTATTCTCAAACTTTCTTCAATAAGTCCGAACACTTCTGCTAAATAGGAAGGGGAAAAGTAAAAGAACCAGGTGAGTGGTGTCATGGGTCTTCCTCGAGAAGTGAAATTTAGTCCTCATATCATGAACTTCAATTTTGATTTTCATTACAGGGCACCGTGATAAGAACTTTCATATATTAAGGACCAAAGAAAGAAAACATGGGCTGTGGCAAAAGAAATCTCACAGCAGCAGAAGAGCTTAATCCTGAACTGTCCAAACCGTCAGAACCACAGATGAATCCTATGATACCCTGCAGAAATTAACATTTGTGTGTGGGCAATTAGAAAATACATCTTGTAATGTGAATATAATGGAACCATACAGTTATCTGGAAGACAAAGAACTCAGAAATGCACAAGTAGCATATGATCCTCTAGCCAACGATCTGGGAACCAGTGCTGAACATGATCAAATACTGTCATTAATCTTGTTTGCAGATTAGCATAAAATAACAAGAATTAAATGCAAAATGAAAGTCAAGTATAATCTCAAAACTGGAACCAAACATCAGTTCTAAAAGCCCAAACTTTTACATAGAACAATTCTATGGAACTTCTTAAGGTCCCAAAGCTTATAGAACATCAGGAGTCAGCCAAAATACAATGAGCGGCATTGAACCATTGAACAAAAGGATAACAGCCATTATATAAAACTTCTTTTACAGTCATTTAAAAAAAAAAAAAAAATTAAGGCCCAATATCATGGTTTTACTCTTAACATACACCAATGTTATTTCCTCTGCTAAGCATGTTACTACTTTTATTTCTTAATGTGCTTCTTATGAATGTAAAATGAATCAGACTATAGACAACTATGCTTTAAACATATTGCATATTCTGATAGTCCTTTGTTTAGAAACTTGAATTCAAACTCTATATATTCTTCTGCACAGTATAAACTTCTTTGAATTATGATATTAATTTGCTACCATTTAAAGAGAAGAGGCCTGAAAGGAAAAAGTAATCACGCTCTACAAATTAACTAACTTTGGACTTCTCAAATTATACTGACGGACACATTTCTATTCCTCACGAAAATGCAAAGCCATGGTAAACTTGGCACGAGATTATCCATTTATTTAACCAATTTTTGCAATCTGCATGAACCTAAATCACAGAGCAGTTAAAGCCCAATGGAAAAGTATTGTCTTATCCCATTATTCTCCAAATAAAAGTCAAGCAATGATTCTGATATTTGTCTAAGAAAAGTACAACTCTCACTAAAATGACATAATTAAATGATGATCTACAATGTGCACCACCAGAGCATATTTTCTAACCTGGGAAAGATTGTTTCCCCTACTTTGTAGTGCATACACAGCTCCTCTAGCATAACGCCCCCATTCACATTCTTCTTGCTGAGAGGAATCTTTTGTCTGATTCACATTATTATTCTGAAGAGGTTGTCTTGGCTGCTGAACCTCGTCAACTCTAATATATATATCAATCATTTTAAAACCAACATTCCATAAAATGTATAGGGGTAATAAGGATATTGGAGAAAAGGATAGCATGGTAAGAAAATCAGAATAGCCTGATACTGGAGAGGCAACTGAATCAACATAACAGTTCGCCGAATACAATATTTTGTCATATAAATAATGACAGCAAATTAATTTTTTTACTAGCCACCTGCATAACTAAGCTTTAAATAAATTGAGAAAATTACGAACATTAGGAAGATGTGAAGCCTTATAAACACAGACCACACACCTGAACTTAACTTCTCCTCGAAACTGTCCTGATCGAATTACAACCTACAAGAAAATCATAGGGATATTGTTCATCAAATAGATAAACATAATTGTTTATAAGAATATCTACATTTCCTTAACTTAGCTTATATGTTAAAATTTCAAATAAATTTTCAATGACCCAATCTTTTTGTCTAAAATATATGCATAAAACAAAGCAATACCAACACAACTTTAAAAGTACACTTAGGATTCCAAGAGAAACTAGTACTAACCAGAATAAGTATCAAGAATGCTAAGTAAGATGAGGAGATCATCTGAAACTATAAGCTATATGAACTGAAAGATCACAGGACCCGAAAACAAATAGACAAGATAGTAGAATATGTAACTCATCATGATATAAAAACAGGGGACTACAGCATCCTATGAAGCATGGATATATTAAGAAGCAACATTGCACGTCCTGTACAACTAAGACACAAATTGAATGATTAACGGACACCTAGAAACTCTAGATTGTTGTGTTGCCGTATCGGTCCCCTTGGATATGCTTGTTAAATCTTATGCGACATTGAGTTGTGCAATAAAGGTTATGTTTGTAATTAGTCCTTCTAATTTTATAAGTAATCACCAATTGACCTTTCAACTGTTCTGAAATGAGACATCTTAACTTTGATTTCTTTTTCAGTTTTAGTTTATTTCAACAAGGCTAGGCGTAAGCTTTTACATGTTCCAAAACTAATGTTGAAAATCCTGGAAAATTATGGCAAGCATTTTTTAACAGTTCCTAGAACCAGCTCATACTCATCTACACTATAACCAAGTTTATCGTATTATTTAATGATTATTTGCCAAAGCTAACCAGGATCAACCCAAGGAATAGGATGACCCAAAGCAGAGTAAGAGTGTGCCACAACCTTACAACTATGCTGCAGTATGTAAAATTCGATTACTGCACATCACGGAAAGAATTAGAACTGGCACATTCTCAGTTTATCACTGACTTCTAAATGCAAGGACTTCAGATATCATTCATTGACATGTACAAACATTGTACATAGAACAAATTTTCCACAAAGGGAATAAAGTAAAAAACAAAAAAAGTTAAAAATAAAAATGTGAAGTTTTGACTGGACAACTATGCTACAACAACACAGCAAAAAAATTTGGGAGGCAAAGCAGAAACACTCAAAGAGGAAGCAGTGCTAAGAACAACAGTCCAATTGCGTGAGGATATAAAATTTACGTTTATGTGTTTTCAGCCACCACTCATCACACACAGATATCAATTCCTACAAAGGCTTCCTCTTCCACGTCTTCTCACTTTGCACTTTTGATACAAAAAATCAGTTAATTTTCCCTTGATTTTATAGTTTCATTCTTTCTGCTATTAATTTAACGTATCTAAGTTTGTCAAATGAATGAAAGAGATTACCACATGCTCCCTTAAGCTTTGTAAGCTTGTTAGCTGAGCACAGTTTCTAAATTTACCTCACTACTGCCAGAAGGTGTAAACCCCAGAAGTATTCCCTTGTTGATTGTCATAGCTGAAACAGTCCCCCCCTGCCAATACCAATGGAAAGTGTAAGAGAATCTGGTCATATCACAAGTTTCATAGTTAAGTCAAATCGAATTGGGTGAGGTGAGGCAGCATAAGAAAGATCACCAAGAGATCCAACAGGTCTAATATGTCTAGTAAGTGCTACAGCGCATTTATACATCAGTAATTGTCTATCAATCATTGAGTTTCATTTTCACTAACACAACTGAAAAGTAAACTATAGTACCTGATGATCAATATGTGCTCCCAAAGGGCAAATTCGATAAGGAGATACCACAACTCGAACTTTCTCTTTATCTACCCCAGCCATTTCTGAAACTACCTTTCTCATTCGATTTAACTGTAAGTTACATAAGGATGAATCAGTGATAGTGTAGTATAAACCAAGGTAAAAATACTATTATGCTATTAGAAAGAAATGCTTCCTTTGGCCTTCCAGTTCAGGACCTCGATTTTTGTTTTCCTACGTTTTAAATCAATTTCTTCCTCCACTGATAACTTTCTATTCCTAGATTTGCTCCGACAAATTTAAAGAACTACATTAATGCTGAATTCACTTCGAAAAGAACACTGTTAAGATCGAGAGAGAACTTCATATAGCATTCCCATCGGATTGCTAAAGCTGATCCCCGTATTACATATTATTCAACTCTTGCTCATTGCTAACCAATTTCATTCGGGTATTCTTCTCAAGCACTATATAATTCAGTCACTGTTCATCTAATACAACACCAATGCAAATTCTGGCTTTTCAGAGGAAGATTCTAAAATACAAGAAGCTGGGTCCAAAATCCCCGCAGATTCTAACCATGCAATGCACCCATAAAAATAAATCTCAAACGGCAATTACATTATGTCGTCCACAGTAATGACAAAAAACAGAGAACCCATGAAACGTCAAATCTTGAGGGAAAAGGCCCAAAACAAAAAATTAAAAAGACGGGATATTAAGCCAGAAAAGAAATCGCAATGTGTTAAGATTATTGTTCGCTGCAGATCACGTGTACCTCGGCTTCATGGGGCCAAGAGAACGCGGCCATTGTCCAAAAAATGCTTGAATGTAAGACGATAGGATTGCTGGTGCTGGCTGCAACTTCTTCCACTGCGCAATGCAAGGGAGGATTTTGTTCTTCAAACGTCAGAAGCTAGGCGTTAGAAAATCCATCTCAGAGACATAGACACGATGCAGTATAGTCTGAAAGAGATCAATCGAACAACACGAATGGTTGGTTTAGCGGTAAAATCGGTTTAAATGTAAATTGACATTGTTTATCCCTGCCAGCTTCCATGAATACTGCCTGTCTCTATTGATACGTTTAAATCAAATCAAACTACGTTAATTTTGGTTCTTCTTTTTTTTCCGCCAACTATTAATTTTGGAGAGAATAACGAATAAGGACGGTAGAGATTACAAAATTCCAAATCAAAATTTTAGTCTTTAATAAGTTTTTCATAACAATTAACTCACAGATAACAAGACATTTTGTGAAAATATCTTATTTGGAATTTTGTATTTTTCAGAGTCTTTTTCTGTATTTTTCCTTAATGTACAAATAAATATACTTAGCTCCATTAAGCTAACTCATGTAATTAATTAACAAATAACAAGGATGGTCGAACATATATGTTGATAATTTGGAATAGTTTGATCTGGGAAAATTTTTTTTACAATACTTTAATAGGAATTATTAGGAATATTTTAATTGAATCTGTTCTCGTTATTAATCAAAATAAATTTTGTACTTTATAATTCAAAATAAGTGAAAATATTTACTTGTAATTATTTCATCTAGATGGTTTATTTTAAAATTTATGCCCAAAAAAAAAACATCATAAGAATTATAAAGAAGGTGTTTAATTTTTTTTCTTTTTTTATGAATAGGTCGCATGGTTACTATTCGATGTTCAACAAAATCAGTTGAAATGTGAAAAATATTAAAATATATATATATATATATATATATATATAAGTAAGTCCCTTTAACTTTTGAACTAAAATAATAGTAATTAATAATTTAATAAATATTTCAAAATTCAACATTTTCACTTCTGTTTAAAGTTGTCAGAGTTTTAATGTCCTAAAATTAATATTCCATCTTTATCTTCTAATTCTCCATTCTGATTTGATCTCGAAGCGGTGGTTTTTGTCTGACATTAAAAAGTAACTTTATGAAGACAACATTATCTTATTTTTAATCATACCGCCGTGCTTTGTCCTGAAGTCTCGTGAGTTCGGTGCAATTGACAATGTAACTGAAATTTGCCTAAGTCAACTGTAGTACCCACAAACCCATAGTCATTAATATAAAAATTAAATAATTAATTTATATATATTAAGTAAATTAGTTAAGTTAATTATTTATAATAAATAGATATTATTTTTTAAAATATCTTTATTAATCATTTACATTTAAATTACCTGACTTTTTAACATGTATAATTACTATAAGAATTATTTAAAGACAAAATAAATAAATATTAGAGACAAAGTGAATTAAAGTTTTATATTTAAAATTAAATTAATTCTTAAATTAATTCTTGTATTAAGAATCAAACGTAATAATATCACTGTGATATTACAAAATAATAATCCTTATCACTTGCGCCCCGGGTGTTTTGTTTTTTTGGTAAATGAGTCCAGAAAATTGAGTTGTCTGGTAGCCCTACATCATATAAACAAGAGTTGCCGGTTGGCCAAAACTGTCTAAAACGTAATATGATGGGATGAAGCAAAATTAGGTATTATTTCATTTTTAACATTAAACAAAGCATTATTCGTTGAAGGACAAAATAGTCATATATGCTGAGCCAAGCATCCAAATTTACAAAGTGATGAGAAAATTTCTTTTGAATTAGTATTTCTTCCTACACTGTTTATAATTAATGTGATTTAATTTCCTACAAAGTGACAGGAAAAAGAATATACTCCTTCCATTTTTTATGAAAAAAATTAATATACTTCTCCAGTCCTAAATGTAAGACCCTTATACTAGTGTGTATAATAGTTTTACATTTAGGACCGGACGAGTACATGTTCAAGCAATGTCACCTCATTTTAAGCTCTTGTTGTGCTTTATTTTTATTAGGTCATTATAATTTTTTTTAGTTATATGTAATTGGTTTCTATACTCATCATTTGTTAATTTGCAAGAGAAATAACATTGATGACATGATTCTTACTCAACACACGTAATTATACATGGATTAATTTACCATATAAATCTAAATAAAATCAAAATCAACTACTATCTCTGGTCCTTAATATAAGACTCAGTTGACTAATTTAAATATATTAAGAAATTAATAAATTACTTAATTATAGCATATGTTACATGATCTATCTAAAATACTTATATAGATCATTAGATTATATATTAATTTATAAGTGAGGTAAATTAGTTTTAAAAAAATAATAAATATAAATAGTTTAAAGTATTTTGATAACTTTCTTAGTTTCTCTAAATTAGTCAAATAAATCTTGTATTAACTACCATAAATAACATATTATGGAACTAAACATTCACTATTGTAAGTTGGCTAGTTATCCAAAAGGAGGCAAATCTAGTACTACCTCCAGTCCTTAATATAAGACCTCGTTTGACTTTTAGTTTGATCCTAATTATAAGACCCCGATCCATTTTGTCTCTCATATTTATATATTTTTTTCCAATATAGTCCTTCTAATAATGATAGTTCTAACTAATATACTTAATTAACAAGGATATTTTAGGAATGACAACACTTATTTATTACAAATAACTAACTTAACTTACTTCTTAATTTCCTCAAATTAGTCAATTGGGTCTTATAATTAAGACCGGAGGTAGTATTAAACTTTTCTTTTGAAAAAGCTAACACACAAGTGATAGAGTAGTGTTGAAGCTAAACACAAACTGTGAATCTAAAATGACTTAAAAGAGGACAGAGTAGAGAGTGAGAGAACAGAATATAATGTTTATACTAGTGATCAATTATTATCAATCAATCATCAATTATATTCCTGAAATCTTATAATACCCGATTCATTTAAAAATGAGTTGTATATGACATTATGAGATTCAAAAATATTCAATTAATGAGATTTGAATATTATCTTGATTGAAATTTGAATATATTAAATTAAATAGGAAACATTATTATTAAATGAGATTTCAATTGGAGGTTCAAATAGAAAAATTAATAATTAATTTTGAATTTGAATATATTGAATTAATTGGGGGAGCATCATTATTAAATGGGATTTCATTTCATGTGGATTTATAATTAAATGTTGATATTTGAAAAATACGACATATAGTCATGTGTGATTAGAGAGCTAAACATAATGAATATAAGAAACTTGATGTGAATATTGTCTAATTTTAAATTTAAGCAAATATACTAATCCATGCATCGCACGAAAAAGAAGTTTCTAATTTCTAATTTAACACAATCCTCTTGAGCCTAAATTATGCACTTCACTTATTCTATTTATAAATCATTTTCAACATATTTCATCCAAATTAAGAAAAAATTTAAACTTCATTAACCCTCATTTAAAATTAACAATTTTTAACTTTGTTCTTATTTAATATATATTATATTCCATAAGAACAAAATCAACACTATAATAAGTAAATGATAAAATTGTACTGAAAAATAATTTCTTTCTCCCCTTCTAAGTGGGAACAAAAACATATTTTTTTCTTTTTGCCGTACCTTCGTAGATTTACCTGATCTCTTCGCTTGGGATTTTCTTCTATTCCAATTAGAATTGAATCGTATTCTAGCATGACCTCAATGTATCTACTTGATCTCTTCACCATTTAAGTCACTTTGATCCTTACTCCCTACCGTGGAGTAGTAGTACATACCCCTCAAGATGCCAACTTATCTTGAGAAAATCTCTCATAGAATAAGAAGAAAGATCACAGGAGTGATGAAGAATCAAAACCTTCACAAAAGCTTGGGTGTTTACAATGAAGCACAAAGTTGGCAGTTGAAGTGTTGGCTCAGATATAATCAATGAAACATCTAGAAAATTAAGAGTTTCAACACTTGGTGATTACCAAGGCCCAAAAAAACACTTGGTGATTATAAAATTTATTGTCTAAGACTTAAATAATGGTTCTATTTATGGTTCTCTTTTTCTAAGTAACTACTCCTTTTCTTATTTATATGCTAGAAAGAAAAGATAATTTTTTGTCCTATTTATAGGGTACTGAAAGAAATTTTTTTTATATGGATGTACAATTTTATATGCCAGAAAGAAAATGTATAATGTATATTAAATACAGTATAATGTATATTAAATAGAGATAAAATTGAAAAGTTGTTAAATTTTAAATAAGAATAAATAAAATTTAAAGTTTTTCTTGATCTGTGTGAAACATATTAAAAATAATTCATAAGTAGGACCAGAAGAGTAATAGTTATAGGTAAATTCTAGCTGTTATCAATGTGAATTAGCCGTTGGGTTGGAGCATTTAACACACTTGTTAGAAAAAGTAACTACAGAGTAAACGAATATGACTGAGTATAATAATCAAATAACCACGCAGAAGCCTCATATAATGTTCATAGAAGCACTTGTTATTCAAATATTGAAGAGTAAATGGATAACGGGTTAGAGAAAGTTGGGACATGTTTGGATTACAGTTTGGGACTGCAGTTGTGCCTTGGAATTTGTAAAACTGAGGTTGTAAATTGAGTTGGACAAAAACTATTGTTTGGCTAGACTCACTTTTCCAACCAATTTCTGGCTTTCAACCTCAGTTGGACTCAACGGATAAAAATTTGACTTTTCAAACTGCAGTTTCAAACAGTGATTATTAAAAATGAACATCCCAGATTTACCTTCACATTTTTCCCTCTGCCTCATCTCTTTCGTTAGCATAATAAGCTTTTATTCAGACCAAATGAATTTTAATTTATATTCATGTTTGTCCATTATGTATATTTAATTAATTATCTACAATGTGTTTTCAAATTTTTTTTTCATAACAAATATTTTTATTTTATAATTTCACAAATAAACTATTTATATTTTATCATAATAATTTTAAGTATTTTTTAAACTATTATCACATTAAAAACATAAAATTTCAAACACTATTATTCAATAAAGTTTATGTCCTTTTTAGTCATTTTGCAACTAAACTAACTTTTCTATTAATCATTCAAACAACTTTCAACTTTTTCAACTGACTTTTTAAAAACACTTATCCAAACATACCCTAACTAACTTTTACTTTAACTTTAGTTACAAAAATTAGTTGAGATAAAAGTCAGTTTTGCCCAATACCAATCTAAACATACCCTTAGAGTTTCAAAGACAAAATACAAGAGTAAAATACTACTTAGCTCACTAATAAAAACTAGAATGCAGCTCTTTTTTGGTGAACTCAACTAGAATGTAATAGAGGAATAATTGTTGAAGGATTCAACGTCTTATATGAACAAGCTCAACTCCTAACTCATTCAATTAGGTTCATCAAGTCAGGATATGTTTTTATACTCAGAAAAGTATTTATAGATTACTTATCATTAAGCTGGGGGGTCCCTTGTGGGTGCTCTCAAGCCCCACATCGGATGGCTGTGTAAGTGTATTAGTGTGTATAAGTAGGACATTCGAGTTGTTTAGATACTACCCGCGTTAGGTGGTTTTCCCTTCAGTCTCTAATCCCAAAAAAAAAAAAGATTACTTATCATTAAGGTTTTCAACTTGAGAATGAGATTTAAACTCATAACCTTATAAATTGTGGATCTAATATTTACTAACCGGACCAATTTTTAATTTCATATGGATTGTAGATTGAGTAAACGAGATATGAAGTCCATTTGTTAAGAATGGAGCTCGACCCACGGGCCATGCAAAGGGGCGTGTGTCTCTTGTAATGAAAAGTATTAACTAACCAACCAACAGGAATTAGATATAGCAGAAGGAATTAATTCCTCACAATGTGGTGAATCAATGTTTGAATCCCTGTTAAGAGAAGTATTCCCATATAATGCCTAACAGTTCCTCAAATAGAATTGCCTCTAATAGAAGGATGCCTATACTTCAATTAAAGAAAAAAGTATTAATTAACTATTAACCATGGATAAATATTGTAAGTTTTTTTAGGCCCAACCCCAAGTAATATATCATTATTACATCAGTATTGGCTTAATTTTATAAAATATCTTTTTAGCTTTTTAACTTTAATAATTTTGATTAAAAAAACTAATATTAAAATCTTAAATGTTACATAAAATATTCTCAGATTTTAAAATTTTTTATTTTTAAAATAATTATTATTATTACAAAATAATTATTTGAGACTAATAATATTAGATTTAAAGGATTGAAAAATAAATAATTTTTAAAATTAAAGGATTAATTGAAACTTTATCTAAAATGAGAAGACTAAATTATAATTTGCCTCAATAAAATAGATGAAAATAAATTATGTATCAATTCAAATTTAACATATATAGGCCAAAAGTTACCGTGATATATAACTGACATAAACTAATTGAAATAATATAAATATAATTATTTGAAATAATTGTGTTAACATTACCATATATCAGTATAAATATATTTTTTTCAAAATTCATACTTGTATTGTATTTAAGGTGAATCATATTAATAAAACTTATAGCAAGTTATATTACTCACAAATTATGAATGTACATACTTATTTTACAAAATTCATTCCATACATTGAAAATGTGCCCTAAGTGTAATTAAAAAAGTTTAATAATACCAATTAAACTAAAAATAAAGTACAATTGCCAAAGAAGAATTTATAGATTCTACAGTAGACCATTGTTTTCATGGAGAACGACGAACAAAGACCTTAAAAATTACTAAATTTCAAATTACAATTTATTAGTGCAGTTTAATAGGTCATGATAATATTTGATTTTTAAATAACAATACATTTTTATAATTTAAATTAGAGTTTTTTGTACTACACTTTAATAGATTTTGAGGATATTTGACTTGCAAGCAACAACATATTTTTATAATACTTGATTTGGGGTTTTATAATATTCATGGCCTAGTCTTTTTTGTCATTTTCCTTGTTTTTAGCCTAAACTGAGCGATCGTATGTATAGTCTAAAGAAAGATATACATTCTTCACCAAAAGAAAAAAAGAAAGATAAGTTTGATGAAAATTATATTTTTATTTTTTTATTTTCGGAAAGATTTGTGTGGAAAAAGCAGGTCTTAGGTGGATCAGCGAGACGAGTTCTGGAGAAGTCTAGAGGGTATATTCAATGACGTTTGATAAATAGCACCGAAGAGCGAAGCTGAAGAGCGCATCTCTTTGCTGGAATCTGTTTTCCCTCGTCGTTGTTGTCGTCTTCATCATCATCATCGCTCATCAAGATGAAGAGGAAAGTTGATCAGGATTTCTCCATTTCCTCCTCTGCAACCAAGATTCGCCGTCTGGTACTTTCCTTATTCACTGTTTTTCTCATCTTCTTCCCAAATTTGGGGATTTTTTGTTCTCAATTTTCATTCCGACTTTGTCTGGATTTTCACAGGATGCCGATTTGCCGCCGATTGAGGAACCCGAAGTAGCTCAGCAACCTCCGATTATTCCAGAAGTCCCCTCCCCTGCATCGGAGAACCAGGAGAGGGCTCTTGTGTTATTCAAGCCTGTGAATCATTCTCCGTTGTTTTCTCCTTCATCTTTCTCTTTCACTGTCGATTCTGACATTGTTTCTGCAATTAACAGTAAGTGTTCATTCTCCATCTTTTCTGCATGTTCCTCCTTCTTGCTATTGGCTTGTTGATGATTCATTCCGATTCCTATTTTTAACAGATCAACGTCCTTGGTCGAGACAATATGTAGAGGAAGAAGCAATATGCAGAGACGAGAATAACCGTGATCGTTTGGCTCTTGTGCCATGGGCACCCTCTCAATTCCAGTCTGCCCCAGGTGCTCAAGATTCGAATACAGAGTTGATGGAAGCTGACCAAATGGAAGAAGAAGCATCCATGGAGGTAGAAGAACAAGATTATAGCAACTCATCTATACACCCAACGGCAACAATGCATTGTGAATTAACGGAAACTGAGGGATTACAGCCATGGCAGCAACAACACTGCTTGATACCTCAGCTTCCTCAGAACACTTCGACTCCCATTTCTTGGACCCGGTAACAAGTTAACGCTGATGAATTCGTTGCCACTTTTTGCTCTCTTTAGTGGCAGGAACTTATAGAACAAAGATACTAGATGAGAGAGTGTATTTTAGAGAAGTGAAGTGGGTTTCACTCTTTGTACGCTTTTGCTTAAATATATTGAGTTCCTTTGTTCCATGTCAGATTCGTGATCATATTCTGGGATGCGAATTGGGAACCTTGGATAACAAGATGCGTAATTGAGCTGTGCTGTGATGTAAATTAGTGCCTTTTTGGTCAAATCATCTTAATTCTAATCCGAAATGAAATGAGCAGCCTTGCCGGCTAGCTTAGAACTAGTGTTTGAGGGTTCTTGTCGTTGCTTAGGGCCAGAAAATAATTGTTTTGCATCTCGTAATGGGGTTTCTCCTGCTGCAGTGGGATCTAGTGTTTTCTAATGGTAACTAGATGATATTAAGAAACCTTATGGTTGTTTTGCAGTAAATAAGATAAAATAGGAAATGAAGACATCTTCATAATTCGATGGAAGGAAGAAGAGAAGAACGTGAACATGAGAAAAAGCTTGAAGCAACTACTGTATGTTGAGCGCATTCCTGTCAATTCCGTCATGTGAACTGCTTCCTATGACAAATTTTCCCCAATATATTATAAATGTAAGACTGACTTTGTTGTGACTACGAGAGCATTCCATGAGAAACATGTTTCTATAGAGGTATCTGTTTTCCTTTCTTCCATTGAAATCGTGTAAAGGCAAACTATGGAGCCAGATAAGCAAGTTTTAATATTAGTTAAAATTTGGCGCGGGTGTTGGTGGAACGGTGTAAATACATTTGTAAAGTACTCATCTGTTACTTGATATAGAATTTAATTGTTAAATTAGTTTTTATATTTATCAATTTTCTCTAAATTATTCTTCTGAATATTCTTTCAAACCATAATCAAGTAGAAGGGTGAGAAGAGATATTAAGAAAGATGATTATGGTGTTTTAGAAAAAATGTGTCACATTTATTATAATAAATTAACTTACCTAAATTTCTTAATCTAATCAAATTAGTTAAATAGATTATATATTAAGGACTGAAAGAGTATTATCAAGTACTAAAAAAAATTTTTCAGGTACAAAAATTTTCAGGTAGTATTTAAAATGGCGAAGACAAGGGGAATTCGTCTTTATCATTCAGCGCGGTTGCATTTAAATGAACTAATAATAAACATGTCAACAAAAAAAAAACATGCAGTGAATATTGAGAAACATTTTTGTTGGGAAGATTTTAACTTCAAACATTTTCAGTCCAATGGGAAATAATCTCAAGTTCAAATTGTCCCAAGTGACTTTGGAATGCCCTGAAATACCTCTAAAAGAACTTGTGAACTAAAAAAATTGCATAAAAATACACATGAAGTTTCCAAGGGGCATGATGTTTTTGTACGATTTTGAAAAATTCATGTATTTTTTGACAATTTTTTTATTTGTATGTTTTATAAACAATCAATGTTAGTTAAGGGTCATGACATTTTTGCACAATTTTAAAAACTTTATATATTTTTTACACTAAAAAAAGCTTACGATGTTAAATACTCATGAACAGGTTTGCATATAAATTCATACAATAACTTTGTATGAGTTAGACTCATTAATACATTAGAAAGAACTAGTGTGTTCCCTCAACAGGATGTGTGGGAAGCATTAACTTCACTTATCTAATTATGAGATTTAGCCATAGCATAACTAATATTTCTAGCAAACAAAAACAAGCAATCCAAAAGATAAGTGGTAAATTTACCGTAAATAAGTGTGAAAATCTTCTGCCACAAACAATTACAGTTCACAAAATAAAAAATGCCTCTATCAAACTCACATACTAACATTTCGAAACGCCTCTCTATATTGAAGGGGAACAAAGCGGCAACTTTTTTTTTTTTTTTTTTGAAATCTATATTGGATGTTGACAAGACTTTTGCTATCTGCTGTAAGCAAATCATTATCAGAAAATGTTCTCAATTGCTCTTTTTCCTATAGATTTCATGCATGGCCTAATTTTGTATGCTCAAGAATCATTATCCTCACATCTTATCAATGAAAAACTAATCCAGCAAGCAAATTACACCATGGTAGGGTAGTCATCCTTAACAGCAGGATACAACGGTGTACACAAGTAAAAGTTCCTATAAGTCAGCTAAACTTTTCAGAAGCAAAATAAAATGTACTTACTTGAATAAGATTGACATGCTATGTGAGACGACATATTTGCCATTAACAGGCAAAACAAGGTTAATTATTTTGTAAAGACTAGACACCTCTCTGCATTAAAAAAAATTATTAAATCATGTAGTTAGAGTTCCCCCATATTTATCCCCACTCTAGAGTGGGGCTTGATACATGTACTAACATTTTGGCTCCATATTCCTAAACCTACTCTTGGTTGGGATTTATTTATGTTAGTTTTGGTTTGGGTGATATCATCAACACCTTGAAATTAATAGCATAAGTTCAAATTCACCAGTCTAATTATAATCCCTTATATATCGAGATTTTGTTTCTAATACTTGGATAGTCTCCATACTTGTTTAATTATAATCCAAATTAGTATAATAGAAAGTTCCAAAAATGAATCCTTGTTTAAAGTTGGCAGAGGGACTTGATAAATTGATTAGAACTTGCTGATTAGCAAGAATCTGGGTCTCTTCACTCCCTCATGTCAGGGATTGCCACTATCTTGTTTTAGCAGAAGAAGCTAAGGATGGGGGAGGGGGGGGTTGAGACATGTATCAACTTCTTTATTATCTGCAGTTGACTTTCTGAAGATCGGAAGTAACAGAAGATCATCTATTAACTGGAACACACATCAAGTGGCAGGATACAAGCCATAATGCACACTATTCCTCTACAATCCTAACAACTCTGATTTCAGTAACTTCAAGGGCTCAATGTAGACTGTCTTTTACACCTTCACATGCACAATATCACTTTGAATCAATGATCTAACAAAATCAAGTAAGCAGCATCGTATACCAATTATCCTGAAATCTAAATAACCTTCAGATACACTTTGAATCAGTGATAACTTCCCTTGGCCTTCATGTCAAATGCTACTATGAGTGAGGAAAAAAGCTGAACGGTTATTATCTACCTAGGACCCTTCATAGACCGGTAATCTTAATTGAAATCTAGGAAACCTTCAGATACAATGAATCCCAATTAACATCAATTACTCATGGTTGCTCACAGCTAAACTTATATATCGTCAAACATATGTGTATAAATCTAAATATTTCCTGGCTAAACCATATTTCATTAATGACCGTCAACTCATAGTAACTTCCTCTTTAGCACCAGAAAATGGAGCGTCAACTTCCCCATGGCCTGCATGTCATGTGAATAATTAATGTATATCAAAAGTTTTTTCAACCCATTTAAACACCCACTCACAAAAGATTGACAGACTAAAAAAAATAATTATCAAACTAAGAAGTACTGGTAGCTTACTGTCAGTTATATCACCAGCTTTCCAACAAAAATCTGACTCCTCGAGAACTTTATATGCACACACGTGTGCTTTTTAGCAGTTGTATAACCTGCAACAACAAATATGCATTGTGAAACTTTTCTTTTCACCTATTTTTTCCAATCTCAATCACAATCCTTACCCCTTCTTTTCAATGCTTTGTAACATAAACTTTCAAAAGCAATACTAAGTTGCATCATCGCTAAAAGTCAACCAACATCCTTTGATCATGACAAACTTACAAAGTGAATATTTTGCTTGAAGTTTATAAAAGCTTATCACCTATTCATACTAACAAAGCCAAAATTGTGTAACATCTACCCTCCCTATGCGCATGCTGCAATGCTGAAACGTTTGAACAAAACAGACAAAACAAAACCTTTTTACTTATTCATGCTGCAATAAAGCTGACCATCTTGATCAAACAAGACAAATAATACTAAAACTGTTTTACTGCAAAAAGTTACAAGCAACCTTTCTCACATGTCAAACTATGTCCTTCTTACTTCTAAATATTATGAAAATCAATATTATGTAAAATGTACTTAATGCTTTGCCTTTAACCTGGTCCTTCTGATTACAAATGCATTGCTCACAGTGCATTTAGTTTGCTCCTAATATACACACAGCTGTTCTGAAATCAGACCAAGTGCTCCTACTCTTCTTCTTTGCATTACTCAAAGGATGTGGAAGCCTGGTTATAAATTCAACACTCTGAGTTCCCTACAAACATTCATAAACATCAAAACTTCAATAAACAAAGCACAATGAATTCAAAATACACCATCCTCCCCTGTTTACATGCTTCACAATAACTGTCGAAAAGCCCAAAACAGATGGCAGTTCAAACAAAGCACATAAACTGTACCAGAACCATGTCCTCATGGATATAATATCCAACAATTTAAACGAAAATTATTGAATATTTAATCAGCAAACCGTAAAAAGTGTAAATTCACTGACTTAATGTCAGAAACTCATTAAAAGACCCACTGCTCAAATTCCATAACAGATATGATAAAGCTGCTTCACATCACATTATTTTTCTTTTTATTTCGAAAGAATTCATATGATTTAGAGTACTGATATAATTTAAAAGGTTCTAACGAAAAGAATATTGCAATAAAATCAACCCACGGTCTCCCCTCCATGCATAAAGTTTCACATACGAAAATTAAATGATTTATGGTCTAATCATCTCCTGATTTCGTATCAGCACAAGTAGAGTTAACTTTAGACAAAAAAGCTGCTTTCCAGCCAACTTCACATGGACCTAATAAGTCAGATATCATTATTGCATAACCTTACCCTGCACCTGTTATGAGTCTCACATTGGGAAATCTCACTAGTGTTATGGGGATTATAAGTTCAAGGAGTTCTTCCTCCTAATAAACTAGTCTTCTAAGATTAGGCTCTCTCTTTGGGCTTATGCTCATCACATTGGTGTTTTCATTGAGAGTTGGCCAACTGGAAAGGGCTACCTGCGGAGGCTTCTGATTGGTAAGAAGACCGAGTGAAATGCTGTATAGTGGAGCTGCCGAGATTGCTTTGTTATGAGTCCCACATTAGGAAATCTCATAAGTGTTGTGGGGTTTATAAGTTCAAGGAGTTATCCCTTCTGATAATTTAGTCTTTTAAGATTGGACTCTCTCTTTAGATTCATGCTCATCACAGCACCTCAAAACAAACAGACATAAAATTTCAGGACCACAGTAGGGAAGACTTCAAACACCACGCTTTCAGCATTCAACCTTACGATCAACATGTCAACCAAACAAATTTCATAATACAAAAATATATATTGAGTAACAAAGTGAAAAATATTTAATCAAGAAGTAATTTAGCCAACCAAATTTGGTTGCATGTAATCTTAATGCTTTTGCTCAGATAACCAATACAATTTCAGATGAAAACTAATACGAGCTGACCTCAAATATTGTATGTACATTCAGTAAAAACAAATCACAAAAGAATTATATCATGTTTATACCGTGATAAATAATCACTTCATGCATATTACTACTTAAATGACTAAATCCTATATAAAGCATGCCATGCACAATTCGCTCTTGTCTTAACACTGCATAATTATTATCCACAATGTCAGTTTTAATACATTTTTTAATTCATCTAACTACTCATATTCTCTTTATATTCGTTTGCACACTGGATCAACTTCTTGTGTTAATTTTGTCAAGTCAAAACAGTCTACATATAATTGCATGACAGATGCAATTTTTTCTGCTGCCGATGCTACACATAAGACAAATTCCATAAAAGTAACATATACTTAATCATCACATCATTTAGATTACTCTACACCATCTTCATATACATGCACTTTGGACCCTTTAGATTGAAAACGATTTCACAATCCATACATGGCCATCATCAAAGCATAGTTGCCCGATCAGTACATTCAAAAAGTTTCCAGACCTGATCAAACATAACTTAATACATAATTGAAGTTTTACTACAGGATTCAAAAAAAAAAAATCTCCATCATTAACAAAACATCTAGTCAGAGAAAAACTATCCTGCTAACAAGAAACAGCTTCAACTCCTCCAAGTATCCTTCAGCAGCTCCCTCCTCAAGTGATGGACTTCATAAAATGTTGGGTTCCAAAATACTCTTATAGCATTCATATAGTTTGTCACAGATGATCTTCCTGCAAAGAAAAAAACACACCATAATAAAAACATACTTGGTAAGCTGTATTAAATAATCAATCACATCTCATTTAAATAAAAACATATCATTCAGCAGTTACCTTGAACCCTCTTCACAAGAGCGTACTGTACAGCACAGACCAGTTTTGTCATCTCCCTCACCGGCTCAAACTCTTTCCAGGCCTCTTTAGCAGGATCACCATAGATCTCACAGGAAATCCTTCTATTTAGCAGGATCCACTGCTTATGGATAAACAAAAGTTCCGCTGCTTCAGCACGTTACAGAACTGATCTATGAGCTCATCACTGTCCAGGCGCAGCAACATCTTAGTACCCTATGGCCATGTTTGGTATGTCGAATTGCTTTGGTTTACCTCTTTTTTTTTCTTTTTTTTGGTGAAAAATGACCTTATAAGTTATAACCATTATAGGGACACATGGTTTACAAAACATTGGGGACACACCACTTATATAGCATGGCTTACAAGGTAACTGACCTATATAGGGACACACGTGTGATTTTTGAAAAATGGGTGGGAGCTTTCTGCTGCACGCCGCCAGATACAATTAGCCGTTACTGTTCAATTAGCCATCACTGTTCATAACACAGTTATTTGAGTGAGGAGCCGTTGATGATGATGATATGGCTTGGCTCGTAATTGATTTTTATTTAGAATAAAATACACTAAATACCCTTTTGTTTTACTTAAATTACAAAAACCTCCCTCAAAAGTAAAATGTATGTTATACAAACATCTCTTGTATATTTAAGATTCTATTTCCATGCATCCAACCGTTAATTGACCATTAAATTTGACTTTTAAACTTTTGTTTTAATTAAGATAGCCCTCTTTTCTTTAAACATTTATATTTGTCAAAAAACAATCATTGATACAAAAAAAAAAATTTCAATACATGTATTTTCAAAATTTTTAATATATAATAAAATTTATTAATTTTAATTATGTTATAAAATTTTTATAATTTTAACTTTTCATCACAAATATTGAAACTTATTTATTTAGGTTTCTTTTAAATGGCTACAAAATATCTTAGATACATATTTTTTCCATCATATAATATAAATTATCTAAGTTTGAGAGATTATAGAAGTTATTTTAAATTCATAATTTAAATTTTTAAATATTTAGTCAATTACATGTTTATTCAAAAAATTAATTAAATTTTCATTCAAGATTTCTATGTCTGCTAATTTTATATCCCAATATGGTAAAATTATTAAAGAGTTATTTGGAAAAATAAAAAGAATTAAGCAAAAGAAAAAAAATTAAATTCTTCAAAACTTTTTAACTAAAATTTAGGGATTTAGTATTATGAATGGTGAGTTAGTAAATAAAAATAATTTTAATATAAATTTTAATTAAAAATTACCTTTTTAGAATATTCTTAACAATGTTAATGGTTTGGATTTAAATGTATGTTTTTAAAACAGAAGGGAGGTATGTGTAATTAAGGTAAAAAATCATCAAGTAAAATTTTCCCACATCAAACAGAGTAGCACGAGGTGAAGTTTAAAACGCAGTTAAACCGAGTCTCAATAACGCGTTGGACAAAAGAAGGAAGAAATGTGTTAAAGAGATGTTTGTCATTGAGATTTTATCATGAAAACAGAGTGACTCGGCAACAAGGGTGGTTAATTAAAAAATATTAGATTTTATTTGTTAACATCTTATTAAAATATTTAATAATTTAAATATAATTATTTACAAATTTTCGTTAGTATATTTGTTATTTGAAGGCTAATCTGTAGTCATGTATAAATCTTTCTTTGAAAAATTTACATCTCAATTAGCGTATCTAGGATTTCTGGGTAAATGTATTTTTCACACCGGTTGAGCTGTAAATTAAAATAGGGTGATAGTTTATAAGATTTCCACAAAAGTTCCTATGTTTTTCACACTAGCTTAGCTATAAATTAAAGTAGTGTAATGCCGGTCAAAATTAAAAGTGTGATAATTTATACAAATACATTAATTAAGATTATCACACAAAAAATTACATTAATTAATATTTGTAAATCTCAAAAAAGCGATTTGTAATTGTGTCAAGATTTGTAAATAATAATATTTGAATACTTAAAGATTAAAGTATTAATATTTTAATAAGATATTATTAGAACAAATTTAATATTTTTAATTTTTAATTACTTAATGGTGTTAGCAATAGTGATCCGATAATCACCCAGCAACCAATCAAAGTGGTTTGGTTAAAATGACACTTGAGTCTTTTATATGAGCAAGAAATAACATTAGTCTCTTAGCATTTATTTGTAATTTTAAGAACTCAATTGGTAATACTGTGAATAGGATGCATATTTGTAATTTTTGAGGCATTTTCTGTAATTCTCTCATCCAAACATTTCATGTCCTTGACTTGAAGGTGCTCAAAATTAAACTTTAATCCTAACAAATTATGGTATATTAAAAATCTATTGTTTGACCAAATTATTAAAATTGTCTTATATTATTATTTCATGAAGGAATAAGAAATACTTGAACTATGTTTTCACTGCTTGAACACACAGCCTTGTTAATGTATTCTCAAAAATATGTTTTTAAGAAGGATCTACTAGTTTCTTCCCCCTTTAGACCCTAGAGGTGAATTTTATAAATAAAAGTTATGGTCAACAACTATAAATTGCCTCTATTTCTAAGTAGTAATACATTTAGGTTTGGGAGAATTCCCATAAAAGGCTATTGTTGGGAAATATTTACAAATCAAGATAAAAATTTTAAAATTTCACTGTAAAATCAAAGATCTTATTTGGCATTATATTTTCACTGTTGAATTCCAATATATTTACTACGATTTGCATCCATTCCATTCAAATGTAAATAAGCATTAGTAAATTGCCTTGAATCGGTATAAAGCTTGATTCAATATTTATTCTTCCATATGTTCCAAAATATTCCTTAAAATACAACGACAAAATTGAATTCTCAGACGAGAACATGACAAGCACCGCCAAAATAATCACAGGCGACCTCCTAGCATCAAGGAGGGATTCTGCACCTAAAAAAAGTCAAAAAGTTACCCTAATTCTAATCTAGTGCTGTACATCTGATCAACAGTTGTCTGTGTATATCATCCCCAAAAAAAAAAAAAATTGAACAAGGGCTATGCATTATACACGCACCAAATAATTTTTTTTTGGCAAGATGTAGTCAGAAAAAACTCGACCGAAGGGCGCCAGCAAGAGTAAATCTGATCCTGAATGATAAACCACTGGGGAGTAATAAAGCATAATAACGCTTGAATCCATAAGAATAAACAGGTTTGTCTTCTTTTACTTGCAAGTGACCATAATCGAAAGGATAGTGCTGCTGCATAATTAAGGAAGATCTATTAGAAAGACAGCATCTCGGGCTTGCTCGGAGAAGAGGATTCAGAGCGAAGTTGAGAGTCAAACACCACCAGAGATTTTTCTGTGGTTTATAAGTGGAAGAAACATGTTAGTTTCAGACCAGAAGGCAATATCAACAACTTTCATATCTCTAAGCCGAAATACACCCCCACACATGCATTTCCTTAATTTTAAAAGTGGAATTGTACTCATTCTAATCCATCCACCGCACTTTGTACAGGAAAACATATTTGAATTGACAATTCAATAGCTTGGACATTTTCTTCTGCAGTGAGTTAAAACATGTTCAACATATCGAAAATGTTACGTTAAGATACATGATTTGAGCCGCCTCCCCCCCCAAAAAAAAAAAAAAACAGACCTAGGGTGAAATGTCGGGGGAGGAAAAATAAATGGGGCAATTGGTAATGGTGGGTATGTGCTACATCCCCTACATGACTTCTCTTTAATAATACTTCGTTCCCTGGTTGAAGTGAATTCCCGAAAGTTCAAATCCGTCGTTTACAGGACAGAAAAGGCCTTTTGATTTGCACCACACGGCACAATTTGTAAACAATGGTATAGTTAACCGGCCCAGAACTTCAGAGTACCAATTGTTGGGAAGTGAGAAAGTAGAGGGTGAAAAGTTAGGAATGACAAGTGTAATATAGCACTGATATGAATTCGTACATCAAAATCAACACAAAAGAATATGTGAGACACAATAATCTCGATAATTTTGGGATACAGGGATGTGAGTGTGCGTGCATGTTGTTCGGGGAAGCGGATCAAAGAGCCCTTTCTGCCCTCTTCATCTAGCACATTTAGAAGGGCGGAGGCCTGGAGGGCTAGCACCCCACCATTCCAACACAAGTAAATTTTTTTTTTTTTTTTTTAAAAGGGACATGATGGATGACCCCCTCCTCCGCCCGCGGGGGGGACCTCAAACAGAAAACTATATATATCATGCATCCGATATAGGCATGTTAGTTTTTTCAAGTATCAGTGTAGTATAGGATGTGGATGAACAGCAGAGGCAATTTGGTTAAATTTCAGAAGCACAAAGCAATTAAGATTAGTGAAAACTACAAAACACCACCATCATAGAAATTCAACGTGATATATTAATTCCTAATTGTCATAATAAAATCTTTCCTAGATATCCAAAAGAGATATATTTACCTCTTAGTAATGTCCTGCTTCTTCAGAGGCTGGACTTTGTCCAGGTAGGGAGCAATTATTGCATCCAACTTCACTAACCATAAAGCAAGAGCTGATGAAGTATGGGGCATAAGTGCAAAAGAAGCAATTATTTTATCAACCAGACCATCAGGAAAACTGCATTGAAACAACCACTCCTCATTGATAGCACCAACAAAATCAGCAACAACCTACAAAAAGGTATGCATCACATAAGGAAATAAAGACGGCAGTTTGAAGGATAAAATTTTAAAAACTATGGAAGTGGGGGGAAAAAAACTAATTTGAGTGACACAAACAACATTAAGAGGCAAAAAAAAAAAACCTGAAATAGCTCAGTTAAAGTTGAAGTGCGTCTGAGTCGCCTGACCCATAGCTTATGAGCAGACTTCCTCCAAGCACCCACCAGCGCATCTACAGGCATAACAGACTGTACAAATAGAAGTAAGACACCAAAATCAGAGAGATTTATACGCACACGCAAACTTACACTTATTATATAAACGTTCTAGTAAACACAACACGAGAACTTAATGTAAAAATCTCAAAGAATTTTAAGAACAGAAAAAATGATACTATATTATGAACATGAAAGTATCAATGTGGTATAGACTCTCACGGATCAGAAATTAATGACACTAATATAGTGCCCAACATAGCTTTCCATAACTGAGTTAGTTGTCCAAATAAAACTAACGGCAAGGGGGAAAATATTAATGTTCCCTCATAAACCCCAAATCCCACTAACTTTCAAAATTTTATTCTTTCTTCCTGGCAAGATGGCTGCAATACATTCAAATCACATACATTTATACCTTAGATGGTGGCATGATTCAACAAAAACCAGACACTGATACCCACATCTGATGAAAAATAAAAATTGGAACATGTAAATGACAATTCACCTCAATAGCATAAATTGCAGCCTTCAGTGATTGGATCTTCGATGATAAGATTTTGTGATTTGGAAAAGCATTACTGCTTCTTTCTCCCTGCATGTGGCTGTGTGGATTGCATATCTTTCTTCAAGATCAAAATCAAGCTCAAATGTCAAATGGCAAATTTTACAGTGTCTCTCATCCCTCCAGAACAGATCATGACAACTCTCACATCTGGCCAGAGAATCAATATAAGACCTTCTACCATATTTCACAACATTGAGATTTAAATAAAAGGAATTCCAAATCCATGAATCATATGCTTGAAGACGGATCCACTTTTGCATTTGTTCTACTCCCTTCTTCCCACCTTCTATCACCACAGCCCCGGCTGAAGGTAGAGAGTCACTGGCCGTCTCAATCAGGCTCACGTTATCTACATCAGATATCGGAGAGTAACTGTCTTCTGTGATCCTATCAAGATCAGATTGATCAGAATTTGACGTATGGCACATTCCAGTGTGGTTGACCATCATCCTGGACATAGCCCTGCAAGAGGGTCTTTCAGCTTCTTCTCCAAGATTCAACAAGAAGTGCCTCCCGTTTACCTCTATCATCCAAAACTGACAACAGGGCACATAAAGCCTGCCATTGTTTAGAAGAGTGGGCACAATTATTAGCACTAAAATGAAATAAACCCACTGACAACAGAACACAAACTAACAGATATATTTCCTCTCCAATTCCTATATTTATAACATAGAATTAATGCGTTAGGAAGCAAAAGTCAAATGGTGCTACAAATCATTAAGGCAAGATATACACCTCTTCATCATCAATCACTTCCCAGTGACCATCTTCAGAAGATTCAAAGTAAACTCTCCTATGGCCAGGGTCACCCACGTTGCAAGGCCCTAAGAAAAGCCAGTATCTATTGTACCTACGGTCAGAACCCAGAAACACTGATTGAATGGGGTGTGAATTGGTTAAACCTATTTCGGTTGCTTCTTTTGCCTTCTCAGAGGATTCTGCGTCACTGTAGATATTTGAGAATAATAATGAGGAATCCACTGGATAGGAGTGAGGATTCAATGATGAATGTCCTTCCTTGACACAATGCATTGGTCTGATCTGATTCCAATATGACCCAGGCTTCTTTACTATTGACCTCTTTATTTTTGCTCCAGAGCCACGTAACTGGATGCTTGAACTGTAATCAGCAGTAACTTTTGTCGAATCCTGTGAAAAAAGATCATCCAATTTAAATTTATAGAACAAAATCATTTTATAAATTGAACGGGTTAACAAAAAAACAAAATAAATATGCATTACTCTCATAAATATACAATGAGTAAAATACATCAATCTATTGCTTTTCTC